TCAAACAACAGAAAGAGGTTTTGGAGCTAGCTGGCCTAGAGGGAAAGGAACTTTCTGATGGCTTTACTGATGCTGTTTGAATTCATGGCAATGGTTGAATTGTAATGTAGTTTCTCTGTGTTTAAAGGCAGCAAGGTAATACAGGAGATAGAGGGCTAGACTTGGGGTAGTAAAAATGTGAGTTCAAATTTGGTCTCAGATGCATAATAGCTGTTTGACCTTGGGCAAGTCACTTAATCTGTCTGTCTCAGTTACCTTATCTGTAAAGTGGGCATAATAATAACAGTGTTGCTGTGAGGATAAAATGAGATAAAACTTTAAAGCAATATATTTTTGAGAAAAATTAGTGAAAGTGTTGGTAGAATGGAGGCAGCTAGGTGGTATAGGTATAGTGCTGAGCGTGGACTCAGGAAGATCTGAGTTAAAATCCAGCCTCAGAAACTTCCTAGCTGTGTCACCTTGGGCAAGTCACTTAACCTCTGTTTGCCACTGAAGAAGGAAATGGCAAACCACTCCAGTCTCTTTGCCAAGAAAACCCCATGGACAGAGACCTACAGGGTCACAAAGAGTCTTACATGACTGAGACAACTCAACAACATTGGTGGAGTTTTCCTTTGTCTGTATGCCCTTGTACAAGATATTTCTCATTTCTGTAGAAACTGAGATAAAAATCTAAACATTCTACATGCCTCTATTAAAAACTAAGGTCATTAGTGGATAAAACTGTCTAATAGGATATTAATTTCAATGTCACATTTTTAAATATTTCTGTAAGTTGTAGAGTAGAGCTGATCTCTCTTAGCATAAGAAGTTTCCTTACTGAGAATTCCCTGCAGCAGTGAAATCACAGGTCCCATCAAAAAAAGAAAAAAGACCGTGATTAGAAAGTACTTCTCTCACTGGAAAAATAACAAAATTCACCCATTTATGAAATCACCTAAAATCCCAGCTGACCAACTGCAAAATCAGTGTAGGATGATTAGCTAGAGGAGGTCAGATGAGAGCTATCCTTAACTTCTTGGAAGAATTTTGATAACCCCTGTGGAAAATAACTCTCGGTGAAAGAACTAATCATTACTGGAGTTTTCAGTTTAAGAGCTAAGCTTTCCCAAGCTTTCTGCATCTAAATTATCTTTGCTCCCTGGGAAATGAAGAAAACATGCGTCAAAGTAATATACTTTAATATTTTATATGCCATAAAGAGTAAACAAAGAGGATGTTGGGAGCAACACTTTCAAAATGACTAATAATAATAGTTACATTCCAATAGTGTTTTAAGTTTCGCAAAGTGCTTTACCAATTTTATCTCATCTCATCCCCACAAGAAGATAGGTACCATTGTTCTTGTTCTTGTTGTTTAGTCTTGTTTGACTATTTGTGACCAAATACATGACTATTTGTGCCAAAGATACTGGAGTGGTTTGCCATTTCGTTCTCCAGTATATTAAGGCAAACAGGTTAAGTGACTTGGCCAGGGTCACTCAGCTAGTAAGTGTCTAAGGCCAGATTTGAACTCAGGTCTTCCTGATTCCAGTCCCAGTGCTCTATCCACTGAGCCATCTAGCTGACTAGGTGCCATTATTATCCTCATTTTACAGATAAGGAAATTGAGGCAGACAGAGATTATTATGAGTCCAAATTTGAACTCAGATCTTTCTGGCTCTAAGTCTGACAACTCTACCCAAAGTGCTACCAAGGCAACCAAATTTTACATGCAATATCTGTATTCTGGGACAGAGCAGAGCAAGAAAATCCTAAATTACGTTTGAAAGTTTAAAAGCAAGTAAGGAATCTGGAAGGTGAGAATATATCACACAAGAGAGAAAACAGGATATTTTTATAAGGGAGGATTAAGTGAGAGAGGGAAGAGATAAAAAGCTATAGAAGTGTAGAATCCAAGCTAGAAGGAACTTCAGAAAGCAGCTAATCCAACTCCTCAATTCACGTGAGAAAACACAGACCCAGAGAAGTCAAATGACTTGTTAAATAGTCACAAACGTAGTTACTGCCAGAGGAAGTATATGAACCCACAACCTCTGACTCCAGAGCCATAGAAATGACAGATAGACAGAACAAAAGGTATCAATAAAACTTTGAGGGGAAAAAAAAGAAAATGTAGATTGTCCTTTCAGCCCATAGGATCACAGAAGAAAACAATGGTACAGATTAAAAGATATACCCTTCCCTTTCTGAAAACAGGCAGTTTATCTGAGCCACTGTGACATCAAGGCAGTTTCCCAAGTTTCAAAGAAAACTAAATTGTTGGGCTACCCACCCAGCCACGAACAATAGTAAAATTGTCAGAAAAGGAACTTGTATAATCTCTTTATGTAACCTCTTTTTTGGAGATATCAGAAGTTTACTTCTTTTTACAAGAAAAACTTGGGGATTTTCATAAGAGCCAATATATGAAATAACTAAGATGGCCATATGTATTTTTTCAAAGTAATTACTATATTGTTTTATGCCTAACAATGAAGGAAGGAAGGAATGAAAAAGCATTTCAGTAAGTGTATACTATTGGCCAAACACTGTGCTAAGCACTAGAGAGGCAAAAACTAAAAGAGAGTCTTCACCTTCATGAAACTAACATTCTATAGTGAGTAGGGTGATATCTATTCTATTTCCGTTGAAGCCACCCAAAAGTAGTCCTTGCCACATAAGGGCCTTACCATACATGGAATTCACTCTCTATAACTTCTTTTGGATTCTAAGTATCCTAGATCATGGAGATAACAGCTGAAGTTCCTTCTAGCTCTGATTCTACACTTCTATAGAATGGTGAGTGGGACAATAGGAGAGCACACTGGCATGTACCATTGAGGTTCAGTGGCAGAATTCACTCGATTATGGCTCATGGTTCCAGAACTGAGGGTGAAGGAGAACAGGGAGTAGAAGAAAGCATAGGTGCTTGAAGAAAGGTGAGTATGAGATAGTCAGAGAGTAGAGAGTGAAATGAGGCATTATGTCTATAGCTTTCCTAAAATATTGGCCTAAGAGAGGCAGCCATGGAGTAGGTCACAAAGGTAGAGGTTTCTTGAGGGATGCAAGGTAGCTGAAGATGAGGAGATGGTTGGAGAATAGGGAGCAACTAACAGATGATGTGGTCTAGTATCACTCACATTTCAAATTAAATATCATTGCTTGTTCAAACAAGATAGAGAATTAGACATTTCCTCTGATTCCCCCAACCTCTCAAACCTCTTGAAAACAGAAATTATCAGCCAAAGATAAAGTAACTTCAGCTGTTATCTCCATGATCTAGGATACTTAGAATCCAAAAGAAGTTATAGAGAGTGAATTCCATGTGGCTTCAACGGAAATAGAATAGATATCTCTAGCTTCTTCTCCCCTCAGCCTTCTACAGATAAGACTATAATTCCTGCCAAAAGGGGAAGTAAAAGATTAGGGCCAGAAGCTTGACCTCAGAGAGAAGGGATATCGGGCTAGCAGTTTACATACTTGTTTCATCAAATACTTCTACTCTAAGGGCCATGATAGGGCTCAAGCCAACTTCTGATCACTTTATTATTATTGGCAGGGGGAAGGAGGCACCAACTTCTACATCCAGGGCTTGACCCTTTTCCCACCAAATACCAGTTTCGCAAGGAACACATGAAGGGAGTAACAAAGAAACTAATTTATCCAAATCATAGCAAAATAGAAATCAGAAAAGATGTACAGAGAATATATACTAGACAATACAAGGTGAAGAAGCTCACCAATTGGGTGCAAGATAACTCAGCTCAATCAGAGAGTTCTAGATCTCACCCAAAGGGAAACTTCCCAAAGTCTCTAGAAGAGTAAGATGGGGATAGGGACACGATGGAGACTCTTCTCATGTCTTCCCTGCGTCTTTTCCTTCAACAGTCTGGAGTGGAGTTGGCTTCTTTTATCTTACCTCTCAAAGCTGGACGCTAGAAGTGACTCGATACTTGAAGAAGGTCCCTTGACTAAAGAAAGCTGAAGCTCTCCCACTCTGGCCAACTCTGTCCAGCCCCTCACACAGGGCATGGCATTCATCTCTACCAATAAGGAGAAAGTCCCATACCAATGGGCTTTGGAACAGGGGTTACAAAGTTCAAAAACTGAACTTATGACTCCCCTGTACCTCTTCCGCTACCACATACCACGACACCTGCAATGAGAATGCATTAGCTGACCCAACACTTAAAACAAAATCCAGCCCTACATCCCAGTCTCCACCATGGAGACCCCAGAAATAGGCTGAAGAAGCTTGCTAAAAACTTGCAGTGGCAACATTCTGTACCTCAAAAGATCTCTGTAAGAGAACAGAGGGAAAGGGACAGGGCACTTCTCTGGGTTTGAAATAGAGCTCAACTCCACGACCTAAACCAGAGTTTCTCAAACTTATTTGGTCTACCACCACTTTTTAAAAGAAAAATTACTCAGTGCCCCCCTGGAAGCTTACTTTCTTTAACCTTTTAATTTTTTTTAAATTTGCATCATTTCAAAAAATATATGAAATATATATTTTTTAAAAATCTTAAATTTAATAATTTATTGTAAATTTGTGGGGTTTTTCCTGCATTGAAATTTTGATGATGCAACATTGTATCACGTAACTATATAGTACTGTATTGTAAACAAGTCATTACATGTAAGTATTTCTGCTGATGCATGCTGGATTCCCCAACAATACGCCATATGCTCACCTGCCAACACCTGCTTGTTAAGACCTGTTGGCAGACCTGACAACTGATTGGTTATAATTTGCATTTTGTTCATTTGTTTGGAAAATAATGTAATCACTATGACTTTAACTCTGTTACACAACAGATGAAACATGTAAGAACAGTTTTTCAAATTTTTCTTCTCTTCTCTTCTTTCCTTATGCTTCCACTGCCCTTTTATGTTTATTCAATGCCCCCCAATTGCACTGGAGGTTATTACTGCCCCCCTGGATTGTTCTATCACCCCCCCAAGGGGTGATATTGCCCACGTTAGGAGCCTCTGACTAAACTCATCGATCCTTCCAGAGCCTCAGAGATCCAAACTCCAAATGACACAAATCACTGCTGGCTGCAATGGCAACAGTATGGGCAGCCTTTTGGACTTGCCAGACCAGAAAACTGAGGGAAGTGGGAATGGTGAAGCAACACTATGTGGACGTGAGTATGGGAGAGGAGGTGAGTAACATTCCACTAAAAGAGCTTATTATTCACCTGGGGCTGATTCCATCTCCACAAATATCACTTAAGGAAGAAACCTAGGTTGGTAAACCATGAATTGCCCAGCATGGGAAGCTGAAAAGCTTTGAGATCTGGCCCCTAGGGAAACCACCATCAGAGAACAGGGAGTCGGAAAGTGAACAATAGAGAAAAATATAGGGGGAAGGAGACTGAAATTACCAAAGATCTTAAGAAAAAGGAAACTCAGATATTAAAGATAAAGACAAAAATATAAACATTAAACATAAATAGATAAATCAATGAGGAAAATATTAACAGCAGAAAGAAATATGACCTCCAGAGCTAGTAAATTTGTTCAGGCACCTATGAAAAAATACTGTAAAACAAAGGAAAATAATCTAGTGCTTGCTGAAACAGAGGACCCTGTGGAATTTGAACACAACATAGAACCACAACATTCTGTTCCTGAGTATTCTAAAAGAAAGGAGAATTATGAGAGCAGAATTCATGGCCTGCACAGCAAAAATAATAAGCAGAATAGAAAAACTGGAATCTGTAACGGTGAGTCTTACCAAAGAAACAAAAGAGACAATAATAGATTAGGAACACAAATACATAAAAATGAACTGATAACCTAGAAGAAAAGAAGCAAAAAAATGAAAGTAAGATTAAATAAAATATGCTCACTATGCAAGCAAAATATACTGATCTGAAAGTCAGGATGTGTAGAGACAACCTAATGATCACAGGTCTTCTAAAACAAACAAACCTTAACATTCTAATGCAGGAAATAATTCAAGAGAACTGCCCAGAACTTCTGAACACAGAAAATAAAATACTAGTTGAAAGAATTCGTAGATTGCCTTCAAAAATAAGTTGTTATTGCTTCCTCAAAATTGTCAATTGACTTTCAATTTAATAAACACTTGTTTATTAGGGTGTTTCCTATATATAAAGAACATAAAAGGCAGAAAAATGGGCTAGACAGAGAGTCAGCCTTAGAGTCAGGGAAAACTGAGTTCAAATACCTGTCTATGAAATCACACTGGCTTTATAATTATGAGCAAGTTGTTCAACATCACACTCGTAAGTGCCTTAAGCAATTCTTTAAGATAAATTATAGGAGAATTGGCTTTCTTCATAATAAATAGCATTTCCACTCACCAAATTCCTGATATAGTAACAGGTCTGGATTTTTTTTCATATTCAGAGTACTTTATTAGGAACCAGGAGAGATGGAAAGGTTTTTTAAAAAATCATTTCTATGATTTCATGGAACTTATTGTATGCTACTCACTAAAGGGAAGAGATTAGCAAGAGTCATGATGATATGAAATCAAAGTAACTTGAAAAGACTAAGCGTGTTATATACTCTCAAAAAATCTGCTAACCAAATGGCTAGGAGAAGCCTTCTCAATTATCTGTATAGTCAGGGGCAGCTAGGTGGCGCAGTGGATAGGGCACTGGAGTCAGGAGGACCTGAGTTCAAATCCAGCCTCAGACATATAACACTTACTAGCTGTGTGACCTTGGGCAAGTCACTTAACTCCATTGCCTAGCCCCCCCAGAAAAAACATCTATGTAGTCAAAACTGGCAGTGCCTTCAAGAAGCGCTAACAACCACAACCCCAGCTGCATTTTCTCTTTGGCTATTCTCTCTTAGACCCTTTTCTAATGGCAGGAAAGTCAATGCTGTAAGAGGAAAAGCCTTGGGCCTGCTGCTTTCTGAGGCCAACACATGGCCTCAGTGGGACAGGTCTTACTCCTTTTGCTTCTGTGTTTGATCTCCTTTTTGGGTAAAAGGTTTGGAGACTCCATCCTTGTGAGTTTCAAAAGGTCAAGAGAGTAAATGTTCCTACATACTGTTATTATTCTGTCATTTTTCAGTTGTGCCCTACTCTTCATGACCCCATTTTGGAGTTTTCTTGGCAAAGATACTGGAATGATTTGCCATTTCCTTCTCTGGCTCATTTTATAGATAAGGAAACTGAGGCAAACAGGATTAAGTGACTTGCCCAGGATCACACAGATAGTAAGTGTTTGAGGACAGATTTGAACTCAGGAAAACGAGTCTTCCTGACTTCAGGTCCATCACTCTATCTACTACTTCGCCTAGATGCTCCATACCATATCCTACATCCTACAGTTGTGTGTGTGTGTGTGTGTGTGTGTGTGTGTGTATACATATTATACATAAGGTATTTATATGCATGTAGATATAATATCCTATAGCTCCATCCTATTATTATAGCTATCATATGCATGTGTATGTGTGTATATGTAATATATGTATGTATACGTATATATCCTATATACAGACAGACCAGACCAAACCAGTATCCCTCAAACTCTGCTTGATTAACATTCCTAACTGCTTTCACCATCTTCTCTTGCTTTTTTTCTTCCTCTTGTTGTCTCTCCTCTTTCAAGGAAGCTGGATTGCTGACAGTCTGAAGTACTTAGGGTCAAAGGGTCTTTCTCAGTTTCTTTCATGACTCTGATTCTCTGCAAAAGCTTTCACTAAGGCCTTAGAGAAACAAGAGGTTACGTTTATTCAGTTTTTTAATGTATCATAAATGTATTTTGTTTTAAACATGATACCACAGGCATCTTTTGCTAAGGTGACAAGTGAGAAATAAAGTCAGCAACTTTGGGAGGGGGTGAAATTCAAGAATCTCAGAAAACAAATTTTCAAACTACATCTTAGTAAAAGCATGGTAGTCCAAGCCCTCTCTTTCTGAGTCTCAAAATAAATCTTGAGTCTCAAAGATATTTGAATGTGAAAGCTAGTTATTGCCGATTCTGAAGTTCTCAAGGCCAACTTTTCAAAACCCATCAGAAAATGCATGTATAGCAGCAGCTAAGTGGTGCAGTGGATAGAGCACTGGCCCTGGAGTCAGGAGGACCTGAGTTCAAATCCGGCCTCAGACCAGACACTTGACACTCACTTGCTGTGTGACCCTGGGCAAGTCACTTAACCACAACTGCCTCAAAAAAAAAAAAAAAGAAAATGCACGTATACAGATATTGTTTCCCCCAACCACAGTAATTGTACTCTGAGGACTTAAATATGCTACAGACTAAACCAAACACTACAGTACTATGGGTTTGAACTGTTAACTTTTCCTATGTAACAAAGGGAAATTAATTCAGAAAGGAAAGAAGAAATCTTGTTAAGTATAAGGCATTTTCCTGAAGAAAAATACTTAATGATTCTGAGCTCAATACAAAGTCTTTGCAATCAGAAAAAGAATTAAAAAATAAAGCTTTCCAAGGAGCATTAGCCCCTTTTTCCAAGCCTATACTGATAATCACAAATAGATAACATTAAAAAGGTGATGCGGCACCAATTTTTTAAAAATCTGTATGTGTGTGTGTACATGCACACACATGGCGCACGTGTGTAAATGCCTTATTTCAGTAGTGGTTCTCAGAAATCTGCTTTTGTAATGTCTCTGAAACAACAGTCCTAATAGCTAGCATTTATACAATGCATTTTATGTATTTTATCCTCGTAACAACCCTGAGGGTGGGTGCTACCATTATCTCCGTTTTGTAGATGAGGATACTGAGGCAGAAGGCAGTGAAGCGAATGACCCAGGGTCACACAGTTTTTGAGTTTAGATTTGTTCTTGAGTCTTCTTGACTCTAGGTTTAACATTCTATGCATTGTTCCACCAAGCTCTCTCTGGCTAAAAGACTATAAAATTTATATTTAACTAGCAACAGATGCTTCAGTAGAAGCATTTGCTCCCTGGCACAAATTAGGTGATTTTTCAAAATGCACTCTTGTTGAAAATAGTGTAGGTTGGACACTAAAATGTAGCTTTTACCTGGCAAATATAACTGGTAAGTGCACCATTCATTTTGCACTTCCTTTCTGTAATTATCACATGATTTTATAGTATATTTGTGTATTCAACTAACAATGCAGAAAATATTTGATATATGGCTGATAAATGTAGGTCACTCTGCTAGGCAGTTAGGTTATAAATAGGGGGAGGGGAAAGAGATAATCTTTTCCTTTAAGAAGATGACAATCTAATATAGGAGAATGTGACACATATGTTAGAATGTAATACGGACAAAAGATTCCTAGTTCTTAGCACAATTTTGCACATGCCTTCATTAAAGCTTTATTGGAAAAAGAAATAAACAAACAAACAAATAAATAAACAAACGAATGCATGGATAGATAGACAAACAAATAAATAGATGGATGAATAAATAAGTAAATAAAGCTTTATTGGACTAGAAAAGGGAGAATGTAGATAAAATGCTCTGGGAATATATGAAGAAAGAGAGCATTTTAGGCTGAAGAGAGGGGTGCAGGAAGGGACAGAGATTATTAAAGACTTCATGAAAGAGGCAGGACCTCAACTGGACCTTTTATTTTATTTTTACAAGCATTTACTATCACTCTCTGCCACTATCCCCTCACTGAATATTTTTTAAATGAAAAATAAAATATGATGACAAATATGAATAATACAGCAAAACAAATTGGCTTGCTCCAAAAATAGATCTCATTCTGCAATTTAAGTCCATTCATCTCTCTAGCAGGAGGTGAGGGAGCTGTTTTATCTTCAGCCCCCTGGACTCATAGTTTATCATAACATTGATCAGAGTTCTAAAGTGTTTCAAAGATATTTTTATCTATATATTGCCTTTGTATAAATAGTTCTAGTTCTGCTCATTCCGTTCTGCATTAATTCATAGATGACTTTGTAGTTCCTTCTGAAATGGTATAATTCATTACTTCTTATGGCACAATAATATCCATTATATTCACATGCCACAATTTGTTTAACCATTCCCCAATAAGTGAACACTCTTCCATTTCCATTTGGGGGCTACTAGGAAAGAAGCAGCTACAAATATTTTTGCATACATAGGTCTTTTTATTCTTTCTTTGATCTCTTTGTGGTATAAGCCTAGTAGTGGCATAGCTCAGTGAAAAGGTACACATAATTTAGAAACTTAGAGGGGCATAGTTC